CGTAGATGGGCACGGTGTGGGTGACACCATCGCCGGAGTCAAGCACGATGCCGGTGGTACGGCCCGAGGCGTAGAGCGAGAGCACGGCCTGGATGGCGACGTACATGGCGGGGGTGTTGAAGTCTCGAACATGATCTGGGTCATCTTCTCGCGGTTGGCCTTGGGGTTGAGCGGGGCCTCAGTGAGCAGCACGGGGTGCTCCTCGGGGGCCACGCGGAGCTCGTTGTAGAAGGTGTGGTGCCAGATCTTCTCCATGTCGTCCCAGTTGGTCACGATGCCGTGCTCGATGGGGTACTTGAGGGTGAGGATACCACGCTTGGACTGGGCCTCGTCACCGACGTACGAGTCCTTCTGGCCCATGCCGACCATGACGCCAGTGTGGCGCGGGCGACCGACGATCGAGGGGAACACAGCGCGGGGGGCGTCATCACCGGCAAAACCGGCCTTGCACATGCCCGAACCGTTGTCGATAACCAGAGCCTGAACCTCGTCTCCCATTGTTGATGATGTAGTTGGTGGTAGTGTTGTTGTAGAGTTGTAGTAAACTGAAGATACACTGGGCCGAGGCGAGTGTTTTATACGGTGCCGTTGCCCTTGTCGCCTGGCCGAGCCAAGGATTCACTTCTCCTGCGCGCACCGGTGGGCCAATGGCCACGCTGCTGGCGGTGGTCTCGTGCGCTACCGCGCTTTCTGTTTACTGCGAGACTGTGCACCCAATAGGCTGCTAGGAAAAATAGACCTGGCTTCTACCGCGGGGCTGGCCGTTGTCCTCAATGTCGCTAAAGAGCAACGGCAAAAGAAGAAAGAGCAAGCAAAGACGAAGGAATAGCGGCGGAGGCGGCCCAACCACTGTAACAATCAACGTAGATGTAAATAGCACAGGCGATACCAGAAGAAGGCAAGAAACTGCAAACCAGTGTGGAGGTGGTGCGCAAACCTCTGTAGATGGTGAAGAGCGAAAAGGATACGGCACGGTGGATTCCCGGGTGGTCGCCCACCCCAGTACTAACACCGCCTGGCGCAGCTTAACTTCGCTGTTCGGATGGGAAGCGGTGCTTTCTGCGCAGTATGGCCGTATCCGACG